GCTTCTTGTTCTGGTGCGACGTCTTCCTCACCTCCACTCACATATCGGCCCAAATCGTCGCCTCATTCGTCAAACGCCTGTCCCGTATAGCGTTGACCGCGCCGTCCGACGCCTGTCTAATACTGATACCAATGGTCGGCAACCTATTGGTCAGACACCCGGCCCTCTCGCGCATGATGTCCGTCACGAACGCCCAGTCAGTGGTGAGCGACCCGTTCGACAACACGACGGACGACCCGGAGGCTACCGGCGCTATCGGCAGCTGTTTGTGGGAAATAAAGAGTTTGCAAAAGCATTTCCACCCACAAGTGGCCAAAAGCGCCCGATTTATCGACAATGAACTGCCGAATAGGGAATGGGATCTCTCGGAGCTGTTGGAGACCACGGCTGACGACCTGATGGACAGCGCGCTCAAGAAGTTGACGACAGAAAAGGCGTTGACTTTCGACGAGAAACACACGAAAGAGTTGACGAGTTATTTGAGTCACAATTAAGGCTTCAATTGTATTGTTTTCGGTCCAACTAATGAGGTCGAGATTATACTGTAAACTTGATATAAGTTTTTTTTTGGGAAATTTACTGTATTTTTCGGTACTTTTAATACCATTTAACGTATGATTGATTTATTTATGAGAATATTCCGGTTAATTTTTTATTCACGGTATAATGAATAATGAAAAATTATTAATTATTACAAGTTATGTAAACTTTATATCATATACTCTATCGGAATATTCTTGTCTATGAGATGTTACATGATTTCAGTGATTTGTTTGTTAAATAAATGCATTTGAAAATAGTGTACAAAATAAATATTTTTATCAATTAATAAATTTCAAACATATTGAAAGATTACGGCTATGAGACACAGAGTCCGCGGCCTTTGCATCACAAGTTTGAAGGCATTCGAGAGTTCGTAACAGTTCTGGAAGAGCGACACCCGAGCGAACACATAGAGGCCTAACCGGGCTCTCGATAGGGCCACCACTAGGCGCCGCACATCGCGTATGTGTCCCACAGTTTTGGTCCTCACCAGCGATAGCAGTATGTAGTCATTCTGTTGACCCTGGTATTTGTCAACTGTTGTGATCTAAGAACACAATTAAAATCTAATTAATAACTCATTTTTAAACACATTTCTCGTGACACTAACCATCGCTGGGAATCCGATAGAAATTATTAATTATTACAAGTTATGTAAACTTTATGTAATACTCTATGGGAATAATTTGTGCAGAATATTCTTGCCTATGAGTTGGTACAGTATTTCAATAGTTTTTCAACGTGTTTAGTACGGGGTGTCTACCGATAGGGGGCATCAGGGGTTCCAA